GAATGAGGAGCTGGGGTGCTGGTCAGCAGGAAGAAGCCTTGGGTTCAATCCCCAGCAAGAGAGAGAGAGAGAGAGAGAGAGAGAGAGAGAGAGAGAGAGAGAGAGAGAGAGAGAATAAACAGGTCCCTTGAAGAACAAAGAAAAGCCTTAGAACATAAGAATGCGAACAGGAAGGAGGAAAGGGGATGCAGAAGATACACGAAGGTGTGGAGCCTTGGAGCCTAATGGACCACAGGTATGCTGCGTGGAGAAGGGCAAGACCAAAGGCATTCAGGAGAGCTGGCCATGCTCCACTAACGCGGTCTGCTAGAGAGCTGGGCCAGGAGAGGAAGAGGGAACGTGGGAGACAGAAGGAAGCAATGGGCCCGGGATGCCTGTGTGTGGTCAGGGCTGAGCTCCCAGCTGGCTCCACTTCACGTGCCCCATCGCTGTGCTCTGGGCCCAGCCTGAGGAAGGCCAGAGGTGAGTTCTCACCATCCTTCCGTGGAGTTCCTTTTGTTTTTGTGGTCAGAGGCAGCAAGATGCAAAAACTTGCCTGAACTGGTACCTGTGAGAACAAGGCTTCTGACTCGTAAGATGTAAAAAGCTGTACAAGAACTTAATGACAGCCCACGCTTCCACAAGAAATCAGCTGCCTAATGCATGAGGATTATAGGCTCCCTATCTTTTTTTTTTTTTTTGGTACCGGGGATCAAACTCATGACCTTGCGATTGCCAGGCAGGCACGTATGCTGCTCAGCTAAATCTTCTGTTGTTCTCTGACCATCCTGAATGCGACTAAATAGAAGAGGTGGCAATGGGAGGCTGGGAGGGAGCATTCATTTCCAGGGGTCGGCACCCCGCTCCCCAAGGCAGGCCTGTGTGATGAGGTTGCACATTCAGCCTGCACAGCTCTGAGCTTAAGTGTGAGGCTCAGAAATTGAAGTGAGTGACCCACCTCTGGGACTTCTCTTCCAGTCTGGGTTCAGTGTCTAAAGGGTCAGGTCCAAGGACCTCAGCACGGTGGTCAAGCCTTCTGCCTGTGGTCTTATCAGTGCTACCCCTCCTCTGCCACTACAGCATACCCCAGGCCTTCCTGCTCTGACCTTGTCCCACAATGTGCCCAAGCCCTTATCTAACCTGTAAGGCCCTCTCCCGAGCCACCTTCTGTGGCTAAATTCCTCTAAGCCTGAGATGCCTCTGAACTGAGATTATTCCATTAATGCACCTGAAGAAGGATTCTGAGACTTAGACCTGGAGGTCACATAAACATGCTCCTGGAACATGACACCAGCAAGAACTGGAAACCAGAGAGCAAGGAAGCAGGACCTGAGGGGTGAGAGATGTGCAAGACGACAGCAGATGGCAGGAGATGTGGACATCATGGAGCTGGCAGGTGAGGGCAGGAGGGGCCAGATGTGGGGCTGGGCTGCAGGGCTGCTCTGGGCGGGGTGGGGTCCCGGAGGAATCCTCCACTCTCTCAGTGTGGCTGGCTAGCCGCAGCTTGCCTGCGGACAGTCTCCCCACATCAGCTTTCTGATCCTCAGTAGAGGAGTACTTTGTAGCTGAGGAGCAGTATATGCTTCTCCCTGTCGAGGATGAAGAATGAATGAGCTCTAGAAGCCCTTATTCTCTCCTTCCATGGTGGCCACTGCTTTCCAGGCCACCCCCAACTACCCCAGCTCCTCTATGTACAAAAGTTACACACTGACCACTGGACAATTAGACTGAGGCTGGCATAAAACTGTCAGTTTAATTTTGAACCCTGCCAGCAATTTACAGACAGGCCTCTCCAGCCTCTGCCTGAGGGGAATCGTGAAAGGTCATGATCTGTGCGTGCGGTGTCTCTTCTGTGCTACTCACTCTCCAAGCATCCTCAGAAGCATCTCAATGAACACAGCGAGGCATGGCCCACTCCCTGCAAACTGTCTATGTACTGTACTATAACAGGCGGTCACGTTGGACTTATTTCAGGTGACCCTAGCCTTGGTACTGACTACCAGCAATGTCTGCGTCTCAATGGCCCCCACCTTCAGGGAAAGGTACTTCCCAACCTCTGGCAAGTGGATGCTCTCCTGCTCAGAGGCATTTAGAAACACAATGCCCCTAAGAGGAGAGGCCTCCTGACAAGTGTCAGTGTCTAAGCCCCCTTACAAAATGGCCAACCCCTTTTGATTCCTCAAGACATCAGCACCCCTTGCCTTTCAGCTATTCCCAATGTTAAACCCCAGCTGGTCACTGGAAGGTAGCCTAGGCCCACTCTTAGGGACTTCCCACTGAGCAGTGAGTCTCCATAAAGAGTGCAAACCTTGTATTTAAATCCACTCCACCGTTTTTTTCAAAAGTTGAGGAAGCTTTAAAACAACGCATGATGAGAAAAAAAAATCTTTTAAATTTGAAATGCATGATACAATCCAATAAAATTCAATGAAAATGTTACCCTGGAGGGAAGACACAGAGGAAGAGAATGAGGACCAAGGTCACACGCAGACAGAACTGCCACAGGTGAGTACAGACTCCGCCGAGACTTCTAGGGGCTAAAATGAGGAAAGAACTGTGCCCCATAAAGAATTTAAGGTACCTAAGAGGTTTACAAAATTACAAAAACCTGCGGCTAAGGTGTAGCTCAGCAGTAGACCACGTGCCTAGTTAGCACGCACAGGGCCCTGGGTTCCCTCCCTAGCACCGAAAAACAAAAATAAAACCACCCCTGCTCAAAAGAGGCTCAGCTTTTACTAGGTACTAGAGGATTTATTCCTGAGAATAATGCCTATCAATGGGGTTTCTAAATTAAGAGCTTTTCAGATTTTCCAGGCGGCTGATGGATATGGCCAAATTGCTGTCCGGAAAGGCTGTGCTAATTATACCTTCTCCTGGCACTCCGCTGGCTCCCCTACCCTGGGATTGGTTATCTTGGGGATGGGGAGGTGAGAATATGATAAATAAAAATATAGTATTTTCATCTGTAACTCACAAAATAATGCTGAATATTTTACATATCCATACTGACAATATGTATTGGGTATATTTCCTGCCTCATATCTTACATTTTCTCTGAAATTGTCTGTCTCTTTTTATGCTGATATCTGGAGAAAATTCTCTTTCTGTTCAGGATATGGATGCAACATCTCTATTTTATAGAGAAAACAGGTTAAATAACTTGGTCAAGGCCACTCAGCAAAGCTGGGCTAGGGCGGGGACACTGGTAACCTACACTAAAGGTGGTCGTATCAGTAAATGTGCAAAAAAGTAAGAGAACAAACGGGGTCCCAGGCCATGATCGGGGAGGCCCGGGCCTGGTAGACATATAACAATTGACTTTCTTGGCCTGCAGCTGTGAGACGCTTTTCAGGTCATCTGTAAGCGTGTGTGCCAGGGCTCCATTACATCACAGAATCAGATTTTATGCCCATTTGAAGAGAGACCAGACTACGGTTAAGGGTCAGAGGAGGTCACACATTAAAGGCACCTGTTGGTATCTATGGGGAGTGGGAATTTGAAAAAGCCCAGGGGTTTCCCAGGATTGCTAAAAGACCGAGATTAAAAAGTCCATGGTCACTAAGCAAGCAGGGCACAGCTGCACCTGGACAGGGCACCAAAGGGGACGGTGAAGTCTTGGTAATGCTTAGGGAAGACGGGGACCATACCCAGCCTACAGCTGTCGCGTCTGTAGCCTGCAGAGACTCCAGTCCCAAGCCAGCACAGGAGCTGAGACATAGCCTGCTGGTTTTTCCTGGCAAGACAGGACCCCAGCCTACTGAAGTCACACCTCCTTTAATGGCAACACAGCACCTCTTGGGGGTAGAGAACTGAAACCCCTGAACCAGAAGACAAAACAAAACCCCACGCATCCATGTTCCTGATTTGTTTTTTCTTCCCTCCATGCTGGGGATGGAACCTCGAGCCCTGTGCATGCTAAGCAAGTGCTCTCCCACAGAGCTGCATCCCTGGCACCCGCCTGGCTGAAGACTAGAACGGTGATGTTCACATACAAAAGAGCAGAAATATACTTTGTTGCTCTAACAATCATTATTTCTGAAAAACATGGTTCATACTCGATCTTCTGGGTCTCAACATGCTCAGGCAGCTTGCTCACCTGAAAAGTACTAGCCGCCTCCCCTGAAGCTTTGGCAACCCTAAGAGGTGCTCCATACACACTCATGAACACTCCCAGCAGATCTGTGTCTGAGACTTTACATCCCTACTTGTAGAAGAGGAAATTGAGTGATGGAAGCAAAGATCAGCTGTGTGGCAGTGAGACCTTGGGGACAGAGTTCGGGCCAAGTCCTCTGGAATATGCGCTTCATGGTCCACCCACATCAGAAGCCACGAAGCTAGGAGTGAAAAGCACCATTTTTCCCCTTTTTTGGTAGTCCTGGTAATTGAACTCAAAGAAGCATACGGTCTCACTAAATTGCTCAATTGCCCAGGCGGAGTTCAAACTTAGATTTTCCTGCTTCGGCCTCCCAGAATGCCAGGATTACAGTTGTGTGTCACCCATGCCTGACCGAGAAATAGTCCTTACTAAAGAAAGTACTTCATTTATCTTAGTAAGACAAATACATGTATATATATATTTTTTCTTTTGCAGTGCCAGGGTTTGAACCTAGAGCCTCATACATGGTAAACAAGCTGTACCACTGAGCTACCCACTGGTCCATAGAATGAGTACTTAAGAAAAGGTTGTCTTTTTGAGACAGGGTCTTGCTATGCAGTTCAGGCTGGCCTTGAGCTCACTTTGTAGCCCAGGCTGGTCTTGAACTCACAATGATCCTCCTGCCTCAGCCTTCCAAGTGCTGGGATTATAGGCATGAGCCACCACACCCAGCAAGAAAAGGTTTAATAAGGTGTAAATCATATACCATAAAATTCACCCCCAGTAACCTGTAAAATGGCAAGGAATGTGGACACTTACAGAAATAAGAGTATTACTTTTCTGCTCAGAGGAAGTCCAGGGACATGGTGAACCCAGCAGTCAGGTTTCTGTCCAGGAAGCAGCCTGGTGGGTCTGGGACGCCTACCTTGGATTCCATACAGCCGGTTGAGGCGTGACCGTCGGGCCTCATCAGTGTAGGGGACAGCAAGCCAGGGCATCTCACTGAAGTACTGTTTGAAGGACTCCTCTGACCTACATACAGACACATGTGGAGAGCAAGCTGCTGTTACCTGGAGTGTACCTCCTCGCCCAGCTATCAGGTTGCACCCAGGACCCTTGGAGGCTGGGGTTCTGATCACTGTGCTCCTCAGAGAGCAGGCTATGGGCGTGTGCTGTTCTGCCCATTCTTGTGCCCACCAAGAAGCACGTGCTTTCCCACAGTCTGGCAGGCCATTTGAGCACCCTGCATTATACCAATCACATCCACGGCTGACTCTGTGTTTTCAGTACAGACAGGGGCTTGGATATACACAGCCACCCCACTCCTGTGATATTTCTAATCTGCTTATGGAACTACGATCCATAAAGGACCACGCACTTCAAAAACAAATGTACACCTATGATTCTAGGTAGAAGAAACTCCCAGAAGTGCTGGTCTTCTCAAGGGATAGCCAGACTGGGGATTTCCTGGAGGTAGGCTTGGGGATGGAGACAGACTGAGAAAGGGAACAAAGGGATCTTTTGGGTGATGGCAAAGTTCTCAGCCTTCAATGTGATGATGATGACTACACAGGTAATTAGGCAAAGCCCACTGAACTGCATAACTAAAATGGTTGCATTTTATTGAACAGAAATTATATTTCCAATAAAGGTGACATTGTTTAAAGGCTCTAAAAGTGCCTGCTCTCCCTGGCCTGGCTTCAGGGCTGCCGCCTTGTACCCAGGCAGGGAGCTATGGCACAGATCACAGGCCAATTAACCAGGTAAGGGAGAGTGGGCTGGTGGGAATACAATGTGCAAAAGGCCTTCAGCCTATGGGCACTTTACAGACCCCTCTGAGCAGCAGTTTAAAAGGCAGAAGCAGAAGGAGCTCACTGATGGGTGACGCCAGAGAGCTAACAAGATGGGGAGGAACCTGAAGCTAAAGGGACCTGATTTGCTCCAGGAAAAATGTCCCTCTACGCTCCTCGCTTTTGTGATTCCTTATCCGTGTGCATTCAAACAGCCCCCAGACAGAGTTTACGGCCAGAGCCAAGAAAACAACTGTACAACCACCCAAGACAAATGTCACATTGTGTTTGTCTCTGGCTTCCTTCCATCTTCCCCATTCCATATCCTTTTCTCACAATTTAGAAAGCTGAACAAATCAGAAAACACATCCTGATCTCAAATAGCTCAGGCCTGAGTCGGGACACGCCCCATCGCTTACAGAAAAAAGAGGTTTGTCTCAGCTCCCTTCAGACAACACATGAGTAAACGTGCAGTGTTATCTGCCTCCCCACCAATAATCTCAGATGTCTTCCCCAATCCCGACCTTCACGTCCTGCGATAAGAAAGAAATGTAAAGCTACAGAAATGGACCTCAACCACCTACGGGAAAGGGGGCAGCACTGCCTGTCTGCACAGACACACACACGTTACCTGTCTGCACTAACAAAGATGATCTCAAATTTCTGGCCTGCCTCCTTGATCTTCCGGTAGGATTCAACCAGCACCCGGGTGAGACTTCGGCAGGGTGGACACTGAAAGAGAAGAGCAGAGCTCTGCTGCGCAACAAACCTCTGTTTTTCAGCCACCTGCCGTCAGAGACCAGGTCCGTAAGAGCCAAGTAAAACTGGGACGGCAAAACCCGTGTACTGGGGCTGGGGATTTAGCTCAGTGGCATAAGCACCTGCCTTGCAAGCAGGCGGTCGTGAGTTCGATCCCTGCTACTGATTAAAAAAAAAAAAAAAACAAAACCCAGTGTATCAAAGAGGTGGTCCTCAGCTTGCCTCTCTTCCTGGTGAGCATCCCGCAGAGGCCCTGTCCAGCCCAGCGGGTAGCAGTTTGAACAGCCCCCCTGGGGGCCCTGAGAGGTATCATCTGCATGGGTTAGGAGGAATAGCCTTCTAGATCAGTCTAAAGAGGTCATCTTCTTGTCTCTATCATCATTCATAACATTAAGCAATCAATGCATACCAGAATGCATCAGTGCAGAAGGCAAGGAGGACAGGAAATTCCTGCCAGGGCAGGCGCACCTCCGGCAGCCAGAAGCCAGCCTCAACTGGGCTTGGTGGTGACACTGCTGCTGCTTCTTGCCTGGATGAGGGAGGGACCAAACACTCACCCAGTGTGCGGAGAAATAGACTCCCACGTGAGACCCCTCCAGGCTGCTGCTGTCCAGCGACTGCCCGTTATTTCTAAGCAAGGGCCCTGCGATGACTTCCCTGAAGGGCTTAGGTCCCCAGGGGAACTCCAGACCTGAAATAGGCAACAGATGGGACAACCGTCAGGGTTCTTCATTATGGCCTGGGACCCCAAAAGCCTCAGGATTGCAGGCAAGACAACTTAAACTCAGGACCCAGAAGCAGGGGTGGAGACTTACAGGAGAAATAAAACAGAACAAGTTGGGCATATGGGGATACATGCCTGTAATCTTGGTACTGGTCTTGGAAGGCCGGGACAGGAAGATCACAAATTTGAGCTCAGCCTGGGCTATTAAGTCAATTAAATTAGTAAGATTCTATCTCAAGAATAAAAAATAAAAAGGTCTGGGGGTATAGATCAGTGTGAAGGCCCTGGGTTCAATTCCAGTTAAACCCCTCCCCGCAACCACACAGAACAGAGTTGCTGCTTATTTCAATGAGGACCAGATTCGGAAGCCATTGCCTCCCATATTTCCCATGAGTCAGTTCAAGCCCAAGCCTGGCATCTCTGTGGTTCTCAGTGTTGACTGCATGTGAATCAACCAGAGAATTAAAAAATACAGTGTTACCGGGTCCTACCCCCAGAGATTCTGAGTCAGTTGGTCTCGGCTGCAGGTCAGGGAACAAAGTGAGAATTTAAGTGTAATTAAAAATATAGAATGACGTACACTCAACCCAAATGCTTAACAGTGTGACAGTACTTAAACCTCAGGCAGATGGAACAAATAATAGTTCCCAGTCCAACAGAGAAGTCATAGGGTGCGCCAAGGCCCACAGCCTCAAAATTGCCTGAGGGGTTCAGGATGGGAGGGAGGAGCACAGACAGTTTACAAATGCAGGTGGCCAAGCTCACCTTGAAACACAAGAACAGACAAATCTCTGGGGAAGGGTCCAGGTCACCTATATCATTAACAAGCTTTGGAGTAACGTGTGTGCACACCAAGTGCAGATCTGGTTCCTTCATGCCCTGTTTTTTTTTATGGTACTGGGGATTGAACTTATGACCTTGCATTTGCCAAGCAGGTACTTATACCACTGAGCTAAACCCCTGGCCCATGCCCTGTTTTTTACAGAGAATAATCCTCCAACACAGATGGAAAAAAAAAATGTTTTAAACTGGAACAATTTGTGACCAGGGCTGAACCCTCTAATCTGAGAAATAAGAGAGGAAGTTGGGGGGTGGAGTCCTCCAGGGCAAGTGGGAAGGAAGCAGGGCTTTGCTGGTCCTTGAGCAGGGCGTCAGAGCAGCCTCCCCGGTCCATGACTATAGTCAGTGAATCAGCAGGACCAAGGCCAGCGGGACTTTGGCTGAACTCACTCTGGCCAGGAGAGCACCCTAAGTCTGCAACTCTGCTGTGGTGGCCAGGTGGAGCCACTCTAATACTCTAGTCCCCGAATCTGAAATCTGGAACTTTTTGTGAGTCACTGGTGGTCATAAAGATTCAGATTTAAAAGCATTTTGGACTTTAGATTTTTAGATTTAATGATGCTCAACTAGTAAAGCCTATGCAAATATTCTAAACTCCAAAAAACTTCAAAATCTGAAACATTTCTGCTCCTAAGCATTCCAGATAAGGCATATTCAATCTATATTTCAAAAAGAGAAAAAAACAAAAACAAAACAAAAAAATAACACCACCCCACTTAGCCTTGGTCTAACCAGGAAGGTGCCAGCTGCCACGTAAGCAGCAATAGAAGCCAGTAAGTATCTGCGCCTTCATTGCTTTCCAACAGCCTCCTGAGCCCTCAGAGCTGAACTTTCTTCTTCAGACTCCATCTGCTTTGGCTCACGAATTAAAGCCCCCTAGAGGGACATTCTGGTCCCTTTATAAATCTTAACCGTGACCTGGAGAATACCATAATTTCGTGAAGACGATGTTTTCCAGCCACATAAACCCACTTACACACATTTCATTAGTACTGCCTGGGCCCGCAAGGAGGGGACTGGGGCAAGAGAAGGCGGGAAGTCAGCAGCAAGCGTGCAGATGGACACAGGCGACACCTCACCTTCCGGGTCATCGCGGATCACCAGGAGCCCATTCCTGCACACAACCTTGCCAGTGGTAGCATCTAGGAATATTAGTGATGGAATGTTGGAAATCCGGTATTTGTTCCAAAGTTTAAGCTGTAAAGAGAAAAGAAAGTGGTTAAATCCAAACCAAAGTAACTGGAGAATTCTGTTTAGGCCCTAAGGGAAGACAAGTGGAGAAGCACTGACGTGTGAATCAAGGAGTAACCGGACAGCAGGGCCAAGGAGCAGGTTAACTCTAACCCATGTGGCCTGGTGTGCACAGAGCCCCGAGTCCCCCCAGGCTCAAGCTGTGGCAGAGGTTGATGGGGAACCACCCTTACTCCCTCTCACTTTTCTTTTCCTATGGGCTCGTTCGTGAAAAGCATGAGAATGAAGTTGCACCACACAGTCTAAGACGCAATCAGACCTCCACCAGGCAGTCAGGGATGAAGCAGGACTTCTTTCCCAGCAGCAGGTAGAGGCGGTGGCTGCTCCTCTGCGTGCCTGCTCTCTGTGTCCCTTAGTGCCAAGGGAGAAGGGACAAGCTTTTCAATAATAGCAAGGAGCTGAGATGCCCCTCAAGCCACCTCACCAGGCCCACATTCGGAATGTCACAGCGCGAGCCATTTGGATACCTGGGCCAGCGGTGCTCACGAGCAGCCCAGGGAACCACTCAACACAACCTTCTGCCTACTGGCGGGCTGCTGAGCAGACTGGCCCAGGGTCTAAGAGGAATGAGGCTGGGAAAATGTGAGCCTAAACCGCCCAGGCAGGAGCCAAGTGTGTGCAGGCCCTAGGTTTGCTGCCTGCTGCATGATGAACACCCACAGCACGCAGGACAGGTAGGCCCGAGTGGTTCTCATGGTTTCTACTTGTCCCCAGCAGTGAGGGAGCAGGACAGGCCATCTGCCCTGAACATCAGGCTCACCTTTTCCTTGACAAAGGTGCCAAACACATTCACTGGAAGACAGCCTCGTTAATAAATGGTGCTGGAAAAACTGGCTCTACACATACCGAAGACCAGAGATGAGCCTGTATCTTTCACCATGCACTCAACTAATTTGGAGTGGATCAAAGATCCAAATATTAAATCAGAAACATTAAATGTGCCAGCAGATAGACTAGGTGAACTCTTGAAGACCTTGGTGTAGGCAAAGACTTTGTGGATAAAACTCCGATCTCATAAGAACTATCACAAAGAATCAACAATTGGGATCTCATCTTATTAAAAAGCTTTTGCACAGCAAGAGAAACCATCAACAGAGTAATGAGACAACTCACAGTATGGGGAAAAATGTTTGCCAGCTGTACCACAGACAAAGGAGGGAGAACATACAAAGAACTAAAAAAACGAAAACAAAACAAAAAATCCCCCCAGATCTCCCAAATTTAAAGACCCAACCCAAAAATGGGCATCTGAGATGAATACACATTTCTCAGATGAAGAAATACAAACAGTAAATAAATACATGAAAAAATGTTGAACATCACTGATCATTTGGGAGATACAAATTAAAACAACAGTAAGATTATAACACCTCACGCCAGAAAGAATGGCTGTTATCAAGAAATCAACCACTAACAAATGATGGAAAGGCTGTGGGGGGAAAGGAACCTTTCTCCAGACTGGTACAAACACTCTGAAAATCAGTGTGGAGACTGCTCAAGAGTCTCATTTGACCCAGTTACTCCCTTCTGGGTATCTTCCTAGAAGAACTAAAAACATCATACCATAGCGATATGTGTACCCCCATGTTTATAGCAGCACAATTTATAATAGCCAGATCTTGGAAACAACCTAAATGCCTATCAATTGAAGAATGAATAAAAAAATATGGTATTTTTATACAATGGAGTACTACTCAGCCACAAAGAAGGATACACTTGAGACTTTTATAGGTAAATGGATGCAACTGGAAACCATACTTGTAAGTGAAATAAGTCAGACTCATATGTGTAAACATCATATTCTCTCCCCAGTGTGAGAAGCTGAGAGAAATTTTATACATATACATATATTCATATATACCTATATATAGATGATAGTTAAGATGGTTATACTACTAAGTTCTCTTAACTTATCAAAAAGAAATTTTGTGCTAATATTGTTTGGACAATTAAATTCAGGTATCTTGTAGTCCAAGTCACTAATTCAAAGATAACAATAGGCAATGGACTAACCATTGTTGCCCTCTAATTACTTTGTTTTGAAATTTTATTTTTTTCCTCAAAAAAATAAAAACAGGGGGCTGGGGATTTAGCTCAGCGGCATAAGCGCCTGCCTTACAAGCAGGCAGTCGTGAGTTCGATCCCTGGTACCAGTAAAAACGAAAAAGACAAAAAATAAAAAATAAAATAAATAAAAACAGAATGTTAGGTTTCCTGCCTGTGGAGACCACGCCTTGGCAGGAAGGGTCAGAAGACCTCCCCTTCAAACTGGGTGGCCTCCCTGGCATGGCGTGAGTTTTTCCAGCCCTGCGTTTTGGTGAGCTCACAAAGAGCGACTCCGGGCTCTGTACTGGTTGTGATAACCTTATATTTGCATCATTCCAGAGAAACCAGAGACGCTGGGCTCAGATGAAACCTTGAGAGCAGAGGTCTCACCAAACAAATCCGTCTTTCACTGTGGTTCGCTTCATAAAGTTGCTGTGTAAGTGTCCACAGAGATTTTTGTTTTTAAAGCAAGAGTAAGATAATTGATTTTTTGTTCGTTTGTTAAGAAAGTAATTGGGGAGAGGGGAGTAATCACTGGAAAAACTGGGAAATAACAAATCACAAAAATTAAAGTAAAACAATCACCCGTGGTTTACCATTTAGGAGAGCTTAAGCCATTTTATATTTCCATCAGCAGGAAATGTGAATCCACATGTCCTAGTATCTTCACTAACGTTTTCACTGACACCAGTTTTCCCAGTTTGACAGGAAAGAACACAGGGACCTAATTTTTCTTGCTTATTTTTTATTTGTTGTTCAGGAGACACACGGTAGCAAACATAGGTTTTGTGTCCCCCATATGATTTATAACTGGTAAGTACGGAGATTGACCCTGCAGTTATTAACTGAGCACCTACTGTGTGCCAGGTCTGTTCTAAACACAATAGGAACAAAAAGACCAAAGTAGATGAAGTCATGGCCATCCTAGAGTATCTGTTCTGCTGTGACAGAAAAGATAACCAAAAACAGAAATAGAAAAATAATTTTAGAACTTCATAATGGATAGAAAGAAAATACAGCAGGGGAAATGCAATGGCACAGGTTAGAGAGGCTTAGGGAACGTGAACTGGAGCTCTGAAGAAAGACAGGTGTCACAGACCTCAGTAATGCAATGGAGTGTGACACATACACAAGGTGGGGGACCTGGGTACGACCCAGGGCACCTGCACAGAGGCTGGGAGCTGGCTGTGAAGGCTGGAGTGGATGCATCTAGAAGCAGCCAGTAAGGGGCTGTGATGAGCCCGGGGCAGGGTGTAGACCACAGCAGCACAGGAAATCCGATCCACTCTGAAGACAGAGGCAGTGGGACTGATGGGTAGACCGAATACTGGGGAGGCAAGGAAAGTCAAAGGTGATGCACCGAGCTTTGGAAGATGCTATACATATGTATTTTGTTGTTGTTTTAGTACCGGGGAATCGAACTCACAACCTCGTGCTTGCCAGACAGGAGCTTATGCCACTGAGCTAAATCCTCAGCCCAAATTTTGGGTCTCAAAAAATATTCAAGGGTTATGTTTTTGCCAGCTTGAACCACCGGTGGTACATGTATGACTGGCCCATTGGGTGGTTTGTACCAGCAGTGGCAGAAATGATACAGTCATGCATGTACCACCGGTGGTTCAAGCCAACCAGCAGTGAGACACAGGAATTACAGCTCCACTTTGAACATGATACTGGCTTGGTGCCTGATGTGGCTCTATTGGGAGATGGCAGGACCTTTAGGACAGTGATGGGGAACCGTTTAGAGCTTTGAATGATACAAACAAAACACTGCAGCACGTGTGCCATACATTTGCTGTCATGTTCTAGGAAGCAGGACAGGAAGGAGAAAGTTAGGCAGACAGGAACATGTGTGACCCCGGTCCCTTCCACTCTCTCTCTTTGCTTCCTAGGTGCCAGGAGAGCAGCTTATTCCACTTGGTGCTCCTCATGATGATGTGCAGTCTCACCACAGACCCAGAGGCAAAAGGACCAAGTTCCCATGGACTGAAACCTCTGACACCATGAGCCAAAATATACTCTTCCTCTCTGTAAGTTATTGCAGGCCTTTGTTACCTTAACAGAAAGCTGACTAACTCAGGCACATGACCAAGCGTGTTGTGGAGGCAGGGTTCCCATGAACCAAGATGAGAAACAATGGTGCAAGAGCCCTTTGAGACTGAAAAGTCAAATCAAGTTCTGATGGGTCAACCTCGAGATGCTTTGGTTCTGCTGCTTTTTCTTCTTATCCCTTACAATGGTCTGAAATTATTTTACTATTTCTTGTTTATTTTCTGTCTTTCTTACCAGAACAGAATGGCAGCTACTTCATCTGCTTTGTTATTCCTTAGATGTGCTATGGATATTTCATAAATCGAGACTCTGGGGAGAAGGAGGCTTGAGGTTCTGATCAGGGATCTCAGGTCATCAGTGACTATGTAGCTGTACAAGGTCATGGATCTGTTGAGACCTTCTAAGGAGAAGGCCTGGCTGAGAAAGAAATCCCAGGGCAGATCCAGGGCCTGCACACGAAGAGGGCTGAAGAGTGCTGGGGGAAGCAGGGGCAGATGAAGAGGAAAGAGCAGGCAACCGTGTCACATGCCACTGAGCATGAGCTTGGCAGGGCCAGGGAGTCAATGGAGTAGAAGAAGAATGGGCACCGTTCTGTGCGGCACACCCGCCCCAAGTGGGCCTGCAGACAGACTCGAGCTCTCCTACCCACACAGGAGGCAGCAAGAGGAGAACTATGAGAAGAAAAAAGGTTATAAACAGAGTAAGGGAAGTCAGGTGTGGTGGCATCCTTCTGCAACTGAGGAACTCTGGGAGGCTGAGGTAGGAGCATCACCGAGGTGGAGCCTAGCCTGGGCAACTGAGTGACATGGGAAGATACTGCCTCAAAATAAAGGAAAAGGGGGATAACT